AAGAGCCGCCCCGGGGCCGCCTGCCCACGGGTGACTCATGCGCGGCCTCCACGGACCCTCCCGTGCCCCGGGGCCGCTCCCGGGGCCGCACGCGTGGCCAGGCCCCCCCGGGGGGCTCCCCCCCATCAAATGTGTTTTTAGGAGACCAACACCCCGTTATTACCTTTTTTAGGGGGGTGAAAACGGGAATATTTCCCCTAAATCCCGATGTTTTCTATTGACCCCAACATCTCTGGGTTTTCCCCCCAGAAGGTGGGAAAAACGCCTCAGGTGGCTTCAAGCCCCCACCGGGTTGGGGCTGTGGTTGTCCCCAGGGGTCCCGGGCGGCTCGACGGTGGTGGCATGTCCGGTTGTGCCACCGGGCCGGTGGTGAAGCCGTCGGCTTGGGCATCACAGCTCCATCCCGGAGCCTCCTCCCGTCCCCCCGCCCGGGGCTCAGTGGCACCGAGAGCTTTGCAGACCCCCGGCCGGGTGGCAGAGCCCTGGGACAGCGGGTCCCAGCTGTGGCAAGGCCACTGTCCCCAGCTGCGTGTCCTTTAGGTCTGCCTGAGCCTTGGGGTGCGGGGATGGGGTGCAGTGGGGTGCCCCGAAAGCACCCCATGCCAGGGGGTGCCTGGGTCGTGTTCCCCCCCACAGCAGAGGGGACCCGGAGGGACCCGGTGGCCCTGACCCTGAGGTTGGGATGGGGCTAGGAGCCCCGAGGCCGTGGGACCGCTGCCGTGGCCGAGGTTTGCGGGTGACTTTGGGGACTCGGAGCTGGGGACGCCGTTTCCAGCCCATGGGGACAGAGTCCGGTGGCTTTCCCTGTCCCAGGGAGCATCCCCTCGGCTGCGAGGACAGGGACATTGCTCCCTGCAGAGGATGGAGCGTGGGGGGACAGAGCTGGGGGTGGCAGGGGACACCGGCATGGCCGGGGGTTCCCCTCACAAAGGGGTGACACCATGAGTCAGCCCCTGCCCCACAGCACCGGGGGCTGAGCCCTGCAGCCATGCAGGGACGGGGACGGGGGGGAGGGTGACGCTGCGTGGGAGTCACTGCGGGGCTCTGAGGTGTTGGGCATTGGCCGAGGGACTGCACAGATTAGAAAATAAAATAAAAAAAGAGAGCGGGAGGGAGACAAAACAATGCCTTTTCCCATCGTCCTGTTTTTTGGAAGCTTCTGAACTGTTTTTGTTGAAATTTCCCAAAAATGTCAGGCTCCGGGAGCCACCCAGCCTGAGAAAATTCAGCCCCAGCGTCCGTAGTCTGGCTGAGTGAATCACGGCCACCCCGGGGGCTGGCGGCCACCCGGATCCCTACGCACCGCCCGGATCCCCCCCGGGAAGCCACCCTGGGGTGGGAGCCAGCGGAGGGTGCTGCGGGGGGGGAGGGGAGAATCATCC